GGATGTTTCTGAAACTTTTGATGCAGGACGTTGAGTATCTAAACCACTTGTTAAAACTATTCTGACAATGGTCCAGAAACCCGAAGTAGTCGAAAAAATATCCGATATTTTGAAAAAAAAACACAGCAACTAAAATGCCGTTAGATAGCCCGAATAATGGACTATTATATGACATCCAAATGATACAAATTCGATGGTTAGGCAATAGATTATGAAGCGCCGAATATCTAGTATTTTCCTTTCTGGAGCCTATCTTGAAAACTATTTTTATTTCTTTTCATAAACCTCGGTTGCTTAGAGTCATATCGGTTTCTAGGGTGTGAATCCAATATAAAAGACTCGAAATGATATAAATTGTCCAAATATGGCCCCAATCTTTGAAAAAAGTTGAAAAATTGAGTAAATACCCTGGCATTTGAGGTCATTGCTGGGAACAAATTCTTGTGAACGAGAGGATTATAACGCGAGTCAATGGGATAGAATTGAGTAAGTACCCTGGCATTTGAGGTCATTGCTGGGAACAAATTCTTGTGAAAGAGAGGACCATAATGCGAGTCAATGGGATAGAATCCCGAGATCTACCTGTCAATTCCGTCTGTTTTGTAAGAAAAGAGTTGACAAAAAATTTTGTACAGTCTGTCGCCCCACGACCCATATACTAGTAATACTACTAACTGTGCGGTTCACTGTGATAGTGCTGAGACAGTATAAGGCCACAGAGGAGTGGAAGAATGATGCCGAAACGGAATCGAGCGCTGTCGGCCCGAAATTTTTTTTTAGAAAGCAACGTATAATATTATGTAATTAAGCTTCTTTGGGACTAGGCCTGAAAATTTTAGTCATTGTTATGGCAACTGGGACAGAATTGTGAGATTTGTGTATAGTGTGGCCATGCTGCACTTGGACAGCACAACCGCAGGACTGAAACAAAATAAACCTCTCCACAATTCAAACTATTCAGTAGCTCTGTCATTACTCATAGGACGGTGGAGTTGTTGGAGTGCTGCAAAGTAATGATCAGTGAGACACATACACACTCGACAAAAAAATAGGTCATTTCGAGACTAACATATGATTCAAATATATTTAGCAGTGAAGGAAACCGAAAAACCCATCAGGTTGTGCGGGCGACACTGCTCCTTGTCACGTAGGCTACATACAAGCTTGGGATCGAAACCAAACAAATAAAAGAAATTTAGCTCAAAACACCAGCTACTTCAAGTTTGTGTATCTCAGAATTTCAGTGGTCAACTTTAAACAAACTTTGGATCAAAGACATGACCAACGAAAATCTGTTTAGCGTGAGCGTGAATTGGGGGGGGGGGGGTACTAAATAGAGTTACCTCTCGTCAAAAAGGCGTCCGGTGATGAAAACTCATAGGTTCTGCATCAACCAGGCTAACGAAGATTGGCAGTGTACAATGAGCGAAATTTTGCCCGGACAGCGGCAATATACGGCCTATACTGTTATTTCGAATTCCAACTTTCAAGGGATCTTTTACGCGGACGGCAACGTATAGGCTAAGCTAGTTATTTAGTTAGCCTCTATCAGACACCGTTACTAAAGTAACCAGCGGTTGCCAGGCAGGAAACGCCCACATTTTGTAAGAGATGGATAGAGAACAAGCTAAAAACAAAAACGATTGTTTTGTACAATCAGGGGCCATAATCTAGAAAGTTATGGTCTAAAATGCGCAAATATCAAAAGGTACTGAGATTTTTGGAATATAAAGATATGTTTTAAGTTTCATCAAAATTGGATAAAAATTGTGACCTCTAGATGGTCAATAACATTTGTATTACATACTTATACACAATTTGCGGGCAGTTTCATTTCGATTTTCCCGAAATTCGAATTCAACCTTCATTATGGTGGAATGGTGATATATTTAAACGGTTTTTAAAATCGGAAAAAAAAAACCTGTGACCTCTAGAGAATCCACAAGATAAAAATGCGATTTTTCGACCAATCAGGGGCCATAATCCAGGACGTTACGTTCGGATATGTGTGATTATCAAAAGTAACCAAGATCTTTATGATAGAAACATATATTTAAAGTTTCGTCCAAATCGGATAAAAACTGTGGCCTCTAGAGGGTTCCACAACCTTGATATACCATATTTTTACACTATTTGTGTACAAGGGGCGGCCATTATGTCCGTCAGTTTTTGTCCGATTTTCACGAAATTCGAACTCAACCATCATTAGTGTATAACTGTGATATATTCACACATTTTTTTAAATCGGATAAAAATTGTGACCTCTATAGAGACCACAAGCTCAAAACGCGATTTTTCATACAATCAGGAGCCATAATTCAGGAAGTTACGATCCGATATGCGCAAATATCAAAAGGTACCAAGATCTGTGGGTTATAAACATGCATTTCAAGTTTCATCAGATTAAATTGTGACCTCTAGAGTGTCCACAAGTTAAAAACGTGATTTTTCGTACAATCAGGGGCCATATTCCAAACTCGGATAAAAATTGTAACCTCTAGTGTGTTCACAAACAAATTGTGGACGGACGTCCGGGCGGACAAACAGGGGCGACGGCATAATACGTCCACATGAAAATGTGGGCGTATAACTAGCCTCGCATAATCCTACATGGAACTCATCTGAACGATTAGAAGCTGTTCATTTTCAGTCCTCGCGTCCTGCGCCACGCACAATGCGAAACCACACCCCAATTTAAATGTGGGTCGAGATATACGACAGGAATCGTTTCAGGACTCGACTGGTTCACAATAACAAAACTATTGTGGAGGAGGAGGAATCGTTTGATAATAGGGCCTAAAAAGGGTTGGCTGTGTCTTGTCCAGTTCCTCCCACCAAGCTCCACAAACACCCTTATAATATTCAACATTGTTGAGTTTTCATTCGCTGGACAGTTTTCAAATATCAAAGGGCCGTTTTTTTTGTAAGATGTGGAGGTGGGGTATCTTTATAGATCATCAGACAATAGAATATCGCCGGTTCGGGATAAACATTTGATTTTTAATTCGGTTAATTGCTGTTTGCTGTAATCGTAACAATCAAGCATTGTTTATAATATATACAGTACTATTTAAGAATCACGGAACATTGTTAATAAAAATAGAAACTGTCAGATGTAGTTTATTTATGGGGGATATAGTCTAATAATTACGTTTACACGTATATATCATTTTATTAACGAAAACAACATAAATAAAGCCATGAAGATCATTCTCAATTGTACACAATTTCAATTAATCTAGCATACCGGGCATTCTCAACATTAACATCATTCTTTCATCATAAAATTCGATTAGCTCTTATCGATTATAATACACCGAATGAAATAAAAAGTGATAGATTGTAACTGTTAGGCAAAACCAGTTTAAATTTTAGTTGTTCGGGGTCTTTATCAATAAATAACCCACTCAATTCTTGTGTGCAGTCTTTTGTTATAATTACAAAAATTAAATATTTCGAACTAAAAGCTTTTGAGAATAGCAGCACGGTGCTTTTTGTTTTGTTTTTTTTAAATCAGTATTTTGACTGAAGAAATTAAAGAAATAAAATTTAAGTGGTGTTCTATCGCGAAGAACAGGAATTCAAATTGGTGTGGCCTTAATTAGATAATGAATAAAGATGGGCTATGTGTGAAAAAGCTTTAACGTCCGCTTCCACCTAAGTGATATCGCAGACAAATAGGCTATTTTAATTGCTCACTTACATAGCGCGGAAATAGTGATTAAAATATGGTCTACTGATTACATGCAAAACATTTTAACATACAGTTGTGAATAAATATAAACTAGGCCTTCTATGATTTAATAAAGTGAATTAAAGCAGCGTTTACACTATCAACTTCTCGGTAACATATTGAACAACATTTCGTGAATATTACTGGTCAACATATTGGTACACTGATGAACTTTTCAGCAAAATATATCATCCTTTGTTTATGCCCATTCCATGTCTTGTCTCAATGTCAGCTGATTTCTGATTCGTAAAATTCTCATCAACATGGCAATAATAATTGTATTTGCATTCTTTTTGCAACGTGTTGGCCGGCATGTTGACAAACCTTTTACTCTGTACATAGTACACACACTTGTCACCCTTTGGTGTTGGGTTTCAAATGTTGTTAAACATGTTACCGAGTTGACAGTGTGTACAGGCCTTAAGGCCCCATTTGATAGTGTTATTGTAGATTTTCCATGTTGGCATCTATAAATAAATATTCTTATCAATACAAAATAACACACAAATAACTGACTGTGTTTTCGATTCAAAAGATTTACTATTAATGAATATAAGTTCATAAAAACCAGTTTATTTTGAAATTCGGTCAATTTTAAAAGATTATTTTTAGGATCAATATAATATGTATGTGAAAAGAATATCAATATCTTCCATGCATATATGGAGAGACCGAAAGAGAAAGAAAGGGAGTTTTAAAGTTTACTTGATACAAGCTAGGTCACTTTGGGATTAACATATGTTTCAGTTTTATTTCAATTATTCGCCTGCGGTAGGGGTCTTTAGCAGTGGGAGGAAACCGGAGGACCCGGAGAAAACCCACAAGACTGGACAAGGCGACCCTACTCCTTGTCACGTACAACCAGGGGATTGAAATACACGCCACTTGACTCAATAACAGACCGTATGATTTCACGGGTACACGTTAAACCACTAGACCACCCAAACCCCCCTCAAATATAGTCAACCCAGTCTAAATAAAGAAATGAAATGACTAGACAACTGTCCTTGTCAGACCCCCCATCCTGCACCACAAAAAAAGAAATGAAGTTGTATTTTAGACAAATGCTGGTCAACAAATTGTTGAGTTGAGGTAAAAAAAAATATGAACTGTCTGTCATAAGCTTCTGCTCTGCAGTATATGAATCCGAAATTCGTCGACAGACCAATACTGTACATGTATATTCATTAATGCTCGATAGGTTTATTGGAGGCAATCAATGCCTGAAAATGGCTATTTATAAAATATAAACACATGTAATAGGAGCTGTTCTTATAGTTTTTATTAAACGTAATCAGTAAAGTCTTCCATAAAAGATCTGCTGGTTATTATTGGAATACCTTCTTCTTTAATACCTGGTGATTCTACCTGTAAAGCTTTCTGCTTTATTCTCTTAATCTGTCGTAATCTCTCCAACCAGTTTGAAGCAAATGGGTCTTGCGGCTGTGATTGTTGTCTCTGTAGCACCATGGAAGCTAACTGAAAAAAGAAATAGGAATAATGCAGTTATCAGATGTCGGTGCACATGCATTTATGGTACGACACCTGTCCTTCTTAATAAATGTGGGACAATTGCATACACATCGTAATCTTTCCAAGTACGATCGACATGAAACTTGGCACGATTGTGTTTTGGATAACTGAACATCAACTGACAGACTTTTTCATACGACGTCGCAATTCCAATATGGCTGCAGTGACATCATACTCAGTACCTGGTTCGTTTGGTACCCACGTACTTGTTTCTATTCCCCATTGGTTTAATAGTACAAATACATACAATTATAGAATAACAATGGCGTTTAGAGTATAAATCGAAGTATTGAATAACAATGAGATTCAGAGTATAAATGGAAGTAGCCTATAGAATAACAATGAGATTCAGAGTATAAGTAGAAGTATAGAATAACAATGAGATTCAGAGTATAAATAAAAGTATCAATCTACAGTGGACTCTGTCACTTCCGAGCCAGCACGTTATTCGGGATTCGATAATAAAACAGGGGCTTGTTTCACGAAATTTTAACTATGATAAAATCCAAATTTTAGCAATTTGATTGGATAATATAAGATTGATTTTAGTGCTTAGCCAATCAAAATTGAAGTATCTACTAAAATTTGAATTTCATCTTTAGTTAAGATTTCGAGAAACAGGGCCCTGATGAATATGGGCGAGGACTGCCCCATGCACGCCAACAACCAGTCAACACCCTACTCGCTTGACAAACGGTCGCCTCATTGCTAGTCGGTCACCCAGCGTTCACTTACCCCTGCGGTCGGAGGAATCGAGGAAATGGTCGGATGGAAGGTAGGTCGGTCTGTTTTACTGCCGAATCCCGAATAACGTGCTGGCTCGTTATTTGTGATTCGCCAATCCCGAATAACGAGCCAGCACGTTATTCGGGATTCGGCAATAAAACAGGTGATTGCTGGAGAGGAATCGAGGAAATAGTCAGATGGAAGGTAGGTCGGTCTGTTTTACTGCCGAATTCCGAATAACTTGCTGGTTCGTTATTTGTGATTCGGGATTCGGCAATAAAACAGGTGATTGTTGGAGAGGACAGTTCCGCGCAGTCAATACAGTAATCGCTTGACAAACTGTCGTCTCCTTTCTAATAGTCCTCCCAATGTTCTCTTATCCCTACGGTTTTAGGTAGCGAGGAAATGGCGTTGATTGCTGGAGAGGACTGTCACGTGCACTCCAAGAAAACAGTCAACACCCTACTTGCGTGACAAACGGTCGCCTTCGTGCTAATCGGTCCCTCAACGCTGATTTACACCTACGTTAGGGGGTAGCAGGGAAATGGTCGGATGCAAGGTAGGCCGGTCTGTTTTAGTGCCGAATCCCGAATAACGTGTTGACTCGCTATTCGTGAACCCGACTAACGTGCCAACTTCACGTTGCCGATCTATACAGTATTTCGTTTCGTTTTTTATACTTTCGGTAGCCCCCACTACGACCAGTTGTAGTGGGGTTTCGGGTCAGGGGTCAAACGAACGACTTCTGACCCTATGACATCAGATCAACAAATTTAATCAGCGTTGGTGTTTCTAGTGGGATACCCACAGTTCGTAACATGCCGTTTCATTGGCTAATCGCTCACATTAACCAGAACGCGGGTTATATAGGCTAACAACTCTTCCAGATCCTAGTCTAGTAAAACGAAATAATGAGTTGAGGACTGAGGATAATAAGTATTGAAAGTGTTGGGTCCAATTAAGTTTTAATCTGTAATACTTAAAAACAGATGCCATTCACCGATATTGAATTGGGACGCAAAATACTAATACAGAAAATTGTAGAATACACTTTAGGTATAGTGTAGGATACAAATAAGTCACGTGTAGGCTATAATGAGTTTTAGTTTGGGGAAGGCAACAATTTAGTTTAGTGTAGGCTCCAATTGAGTTTTAGTACTGGTACTAACTAGTCAATGTCAAGATACTTACATTGCAATGCATAGCTATCTGTCGAACTAATTGAGCTAAATTCTCATCGGATATAATTTTAGTGTCTGTGTGACCCAGAATCTCAGCAATATCTGAAAAACAGCACATAATGAAAATAAATAAGTTACTACAAGAACTAAGATATTATTATTAAAAAACTTCCAACCCCGACCCGAAACTTGCCTGCTTATATTAAAACTGAAAAACTAGCATGACATGAGCAAAGCACACAAAAAAAATTATTATAGTGACAGAATTATTCACAAACTAGCTAACTTACAAAAGGAAACTTAAAAAAGAAAACTATATAAAGAGAACTTTAGCTAAATAATAAATCAATCAACAACTTTTATTAACAAAACATTTTATGAGCAAATTATTAAAAGATAAATTTAGTAAATGAAAGGAGTTATTGAGTCCCACCAGAAAACACATCTGTTGTTAGCAAAATGAAATGAAACGAAATAGGGTTTGACTCCTACTTTTCTGCACCCACTGAGCTAATGAAGACGGGCATACGCCATACAATGCGTTATGAGGGGAAATATTACATGGGACCTCATTTTTTTGTCGCATACGATGAATAACTAGGTACTCCATCCTGCACCATTAACAAGGGGGAACCATGCTGGAAATCCCATGAACTTTCTCGACCAACCCGGGATCCAACATGAGAGCTCCAGGTTAGAGAGCCAAGGTCTTACTCACTAAGTCATTGTGGCTCTCAGTAAATTAAACCTGAAATAGATCATAAATCTTCAAATTCAAATGTCTGCCTTTTTTCTTTAAACATGCATTATGCAAGAGCTAAATCTGATTATTGCAAGTCTTAATTTAGGCTTCAGATGTTATAGAAATCATAAATTAGATCTTTATTTAAACAACAAGACCAAAATCAACTCTGTAGACCCACGGATGGCTCGGCTACAGCTCGGATTTAAATAGGATTTCACTAATTGATTAAATCTAATAAGGGGTAACCTGATGAAAATACGTCAGTTAGATCGAGGCTAAATGATAGAGTGTACTTAGCGAGGCCGCTGTAAAGCGTTTCGGTATGCCATTGAAAACTTTACTTGATAATCGAGATATGTAGGTGGAGTTAACGCCTGTCAATCAAACGATCAGTGAAGGTGAAGACACAATTCGCTACCATTTCTAGGCAAATATTACAACGATGATAACTATGTTCAGAATAAAGTAATTTGACTGAATTTTTCAATATATTCTTCTTTCATCATCTACTTTTGAACTGTTATAGCAAGAATGGCCAACTCTCTATAAAAAATCTCCCATAATGTATCTTTAAATTCCAATTAATTATACAAGATACAAGTAAATAAACAGCCCCAATAGAAAAATCTGATTTCTTAATTAACAAGATGTACTGGAGAAAATTGTTGTTTGACATCAACAATTTTTGTGGCCGTATTATACCCCATCTTTTGCACAATGAGACAATGCATGTTTAAACTGTATTGGTTCTATATTGAACCATTTTGATATATTTTATGTTTTAGTATATTTTGATTATTTCATGTCATTGTTGGAAAATTTTTGTAATTTATTTTGCCAAGTACTGTTATTATTCAATGATTGGTTTATGTAATTTATGAGGTTAATAAATGACCATTTCAATTCAAACAAATGCTTTTTCTAATGTGTAAAACATAGCCATTCCAGAGCATATCGGGGATAATACTATATGCAGAGCTTGATTTAATGGCAATATAGGACATTTTTAAGTGGGCTGCATCCAACATGGTGGTGCATGTAAATACAACTGTAAATGAAATTGGACTTAACAACCTACTTTTCTGTACCAACCGGGCAAATAAAGATAGGGTATCTGATCTTTATTGAAAATATGTGCCATTTTCAATATGTTTCTACCTATTGAACATCAAGTGTGATCTTGCACTGTGGGATTTTATATGACAAGTTTGAAATTAGAGAGAGTAATAACAAAAGCAACAGACAGATTGTAAATAGTGTTGCAATGTACATACTAAATAATAGTCTAAATAAATTCATATAAATATCATATAGTTATATTCCTTCATAAAGATAATTTATAAATATCTTTAAAGTTATATTCCTTCATAAAGACAATTTATGTATAAATATCTTAAAGTTATATTCCTCCAGAAAGATGATTTCTTCATCTATTGGATCTGAAAATACGTTGGGGTTTTTCTTTTGAATAGAAAAAATAACACCACAGGGCACAGGCCTAATGTGCATATTTGGTTTGTAGTTGTCAACCAGTGCGTACTAATTTTAAACTCCTTATATGGCAATGACTAGATTCAGGGCCGGATTTAGATAAAGGTAGGCCCTAGGCTATTCCACTCATAAGGCCCCTTTCAATCCTCCACCCCCACAGACAAAGGAAGATGATAGTGTGTTTTAAACACAATTGAGCAAATCCTAGGATTTTGACGTGTAAGATTGGCTTATGACAATGTCAAAATCAGTATACAACTTGGATGGAGGCCCTTATTATAGATCTTAAGGCCCTAAGTTTCAGTCTGCCAAGCTTGTAAGTAAATATGGCACTGCTCGGGTTAGACAAATTAGTCCTGATTTAAAACTGGTGTATCCTTCTTTCCTTATTAATAATAGAAATCTATTGCGTTTATGAAGTAAAAATTATTTTCTTTGATTAAACATACATTATGCAAGAGCTAAATCTGCCAATTGCAGGTCTTTCTTTAGGCTTGAAATGTTATCTAAATTATTAATTAGACATCAATTAACTTATCCAGACCGTAATCATCTTTCAATGCCATCACTAGCCTGCAATATTTAGAGGATTGGAATACATTTTTTTGAAAAATAATTAAACGTAAAAATGGATAATCGAGACTTTATTTTTTATCATACTGATTTTAGTAATGGTAATTGACTTTAGTAATGGTGATCGAGGCTAGCCTAAAATTCCAAAGCTCATATCTTCAGAGTGAAGCAATTTGACTGAAATTTTTACCATATTCTATTTACATTATCTACAGTTGAGAACTGTCAACTCTTTATCTAATTTCCCATAATGCCCCTTTAATTAAAGTCCAGATTGTTACAGGAATATATATTTAAATAAAAAACTAATAATAAAATATCTTAACTCAAAAGAAAGTTTCTTCTATAAAATGTTTGATTATATTTGAAATTTAATGTAAGGGAGATAACTGCAAATAAATTCTATAAAGAAAAATCATAAACAAAAAATAAGATCCCCTGCAATCTGGATAATAGCTAACCAATGTAGATTTTATAACTCAAATCTGGCAGTTGCAATTCTCAGCAACCAGTGTACATACTGTATATCAACAATCTTACAACTGACCAACTGTTATAAATGAATTCTCCCAAATGTTAAGTTTCCTGTACAGAAGTTAAGTTGTGTTTTTAATTGGTCAAAACATAGTGAATTGAGTCATTAAAGGGTTATAGCTCTATTCTTCGGAACCTTAAAATAGAAGAAAATGAGTCGAAAAGCTCATATTTATGTAATATAATATAAACAGATTTACATTCAATTTTTTAATTTTTTACTTTAATTTCTAATCCCTTACATTTGATATGCAGTCAGATGAGTTAAAAGGTCAACATTCAGTCACCAATAAAAGCTAATCAATATAGTTCAGTCAAGCTATAGGAAAGACAAACATAAAACAGCCATCTTGAAAATGTGAATAGATCAAATTATTATGGAATGAAATCAAGTTGCATGTAAATTATGGACTTTGATTATTTGCAGGAAACATGCTGATTTGATTATATCATACCTGTAGAGATATTGGAAGGCACTGAATTTAGAGAAAACAAAATTCATGTTGAAATCAGAAACCAGAAATAAGTAACAATTTATTTAAATATAGTGTCAAGATAAATTAAATCATCTTCAAAAACCAAGATCAACTTAAGAAAATATAAGATCATATTTTTTTTCTACAGCAAATATTTCAGCTGATAGTAAAGTGGAAGAATGTTTTGATTCCAGACTTGTATGTGCAAAGGAGTAGGGTTGCCTACCTCACCTTAAAAAATGGCAATGTCTTTCCAAAATAATTTTAAGAAATAATGGTAACTATAATTAGGAATTTAATACATATATAAGAAAATGAATTATGATTTTTTTGCCTGGGTTCTATGGCTTCCTCCCACTATTAATACCCCTTCTCTATTCAATGTATACATCAGGTATTCGTATATGTAATCTATACATTTTATATTCTTACCATACAGGTTAATTTTCTATTTTATCTAATTAAAATTTCCCCTTGTATTCTGATAATTAAATAAATAGAATTTCTCAATAAATTATAATATACAGCTGACAATCAATGAAGCTAGCTAAATTTTATTTAATTGTATACCAATTTCCACACGTTCTGATATCAAATATATTGATATTCTTAACTAATTATAATTTTGGTAATCTGATTAGAATACAGAACTATATTTCGTTTTGTTTTTTTATACTTTCGATGGCCTCCACTACAAGAAGATCTGACTGGATGTAGTGGGAGGTGGTCAATCTTAGGGATCATAAGAGCGTCTTTTGACCCCATGACATCAGTCATTCAATTAAGCAATCAGTGCTGGTGTTTCAAGCGGCTACTGAAAATAAACTTTTGCTTTGTATTGTTTTCTTGCTGAAAATGTCTACCCACAGTTCTGCACAGATAATATGAACTTGACAGACCAATTGATTGCTAATCCCTGAAATCAACCAGAACGTGGGTTATTTATCCAGATATTTCTGTAGTGAAGAAAATTTTGAACTTTAAAAAATGAAACAAAATAGGATCTGTGTTTTAATCAGATCAAATTTACAGCAAACATAAAGCTAGCTAATATCGCTGATTCTGGATGTACACTTGGCTTGTGAAGATGATTTAAATGAGAAAATTGTGCTTTCTAAGGAATTTTTGTTAATAACAAACAAGAAACCATAAACTACCCCTTCCCATGTAAAACTTTATATAAATACAGTTAAAACATTGTTGCCATATTTACCTTCTTTAGTTTGAAGTGTAACAGCATTACTCTCATAGTCTAATGGTTTAATTACAATATTTACATAATTAAATGAACCCTGAAAAAAGATGATAAAAAGAATTTTAAGATCATGTTTCAAGGTACATTTACATAATTAAATTAATTCTGATAAAAAGAATCAGCCCCAAAAATATGTTTTTGTGATTTTAATTCATATTTCAAGATATATTTACATAATTAAATGAATCCAGACAAAAGGTGATAAAATAATTAGTAAAAAAAATATGTTTTCTTAATTGAAATCCTATTTCCAGGTATATCAATTATGACCATAAACAATAACGATTCTTATAGCTGACCCCTGGATCCATTCACTTGATTTGATATTTACTACTTACTATAATTAGAGCATTTCATAAATAATATACATGGCTTCTTCATACCATATAGTCCAACTATTAGAATTATGAATTAAATGCACATTAAATACCTTGACTGAACAAACTGACCCGGGTAAAAAATTATGTGAAGATCAAAACACCAGCCTAAGTTTATCAAACTTTGTAACAAACACAGTGGTTGCTGTGATGAGTAAGAGAGAGAGAGAGAGAAATAGGGTTTAACGTCCACTCGAAACAAACTAGGTCATTTCGGGACTAACATATGGTTCAATTTTATTTCAATAATTCGCTTGCACATAGGGGTCTTTAGCAGTGGGAGGAAACCAGAGAAAACCCACGATGTTGGACAGGCGACCCTACTCCTTGTCACGTACAAGCAGGGAATCAAAACCATGCCAGTTGACTCAATGACAGACCTTATGATACAGCGTGCACATGCTAACCAATCGGCCATCCAACCCCCCGTGACGAGTAAGCTTCAGAAATGCAACATCCTACTTTTCTGCACTGGCATGGCTAAGGAAGACAGGCGTTTGCCATACCGTGTGCTATGATGGAATTTTGCGCTACTGCCTACTCTTTTTTCGTATTCCAATTGTCAAGGGTTTTTCGATGTGCACGCACCTACAGACAAGGGGTAACCATGCTGGAGAATTCTGAGAAACTTTTTTGATCAACACTGGGATCAAACAATGGATCTCTTGTTTAGTGCGCTAGCGCCTTAAGCACTGAGCCACCAAAGCTCTTTAGTAAGCTTCTGTAGCACAACAAAGTCAGCCAAAGCACTCAAGGTATTAAAAATTATATGTTAACATCTAGAAACTGTGAATATGAAACTAACCTTGATAGTGCCAATCTTATAATCGTCATGAGAATCATTATATATAATTGTAACATAATCATTGCCTATATGTCTCTTCTTAGAGTTACAGTTAGGGTCAGAATTTTTGTTTGGCATCAATGTTGCAATATGGAAAATAACTGAAAAGAATTCAAAGAGATGTACATCAATATTTAGAAAAATTAAGATCTCTACAAAATTAATATCTAATTTACATATAATCCAAACTAGACAGGGGTGTCAAGGTAGTTAAGTGGATAGGGCAGACCACAAGAATTTGGGCATGAATGAACATGGTATAAAAACAAGTATGATAGTACAACAGGTACCGAACAACATGTTATTGCTGCCATCTTGGAAGTCTTGTCAATCAATGCATATTTGTCTAAGGAACCAGCAGGCCAAGTTTCATTTGGATCATTCGTTTGGTCCAAAAATATGATCTTATATACAAATTCGGAATGCACATAAAAGATCCCTTTGCAAGTTCTATTCAAAATGGAGCAGACAGAAACACTACTGAAAACAAAAGTATGACTGCACAGAATATGAAATGATATGAAATGGGGTTTAACATCCTACTGTTCTGCTCTGACTGGGCTAATGAAGACGGGCATACGCCATACAATGTGCTATGAGGGAAATTTTGCCCGGACAGCGGCGCTACAGTTTACTCTTATATTGAACTCCAACTGCCAAGGGATCTTTACATGCACGCCAATGTGTACACGAGACCTCAGTTTTTCATCCCATCCAAACGACTAGACAATTGTCCTTGTCGGGCCCTCTATTCTGCTAACCTATAATAACAAAACTAACCTTGCATGGCATCATCTTGCCAACTGTAAGCAAATTGTCCATCTTCCCCATTTGACGCCAGTCCACCAGTATAAACCTGATCGGGATTAACATCACGTAAACAGATTAACTGACCTAACTGTTCTACAAGTCTAGCATATCTTTCCGATCCATATAAATTAGATAATATAGCCTTTTCATTAGTAGCCTGCAAATAATTGAACAACACTTAAAATGATTCTAAAAAAAGCTCTACTTTACACCTAGAATTAAAGTTGTATACTATTCAAAAAAAGTAGGGGATATTTGATTTTCGGGGCATAATACTAAAATATGCAAATGACTACGAAAAAAGTCACTATAGAACCTAACAGAAGAAACATTTCCAGTTACATGTGACGCCCAAACGCACCAATAGCTACCGCATGGAATGCAGGTGATGCTTGGGATCATCATGGGGGTCCAACCCAAGATTTGCACGACTCTGACTTTGAATGTTACAGTCATTGTGGCATTGAATTCCAGGGTGGAAACATCAGTTTAATTGTTTTAGTGACCAGAAAACAAATTTTGATATGCGTCGGCTTACCCAAAATGAAAGGTTACGTGCCCTTGGCATGCTACAGATCGGCACAACACAGGCGGTTGTGGCGCGGACGATGAATGTTTCTCAGTCTGTCATAAGCAGGCTATGGTCCAGATACCGTGATACACAATCTGTACAGGACAGAGCACGCTCAGGTCGACCAAGGGCGACAACTCAAGCCCAGGATCGATTTATCCGTACCTTGGCCTTGAGAAATCGTGTCATCACAGCAAATCAGATCAGCGCTCGTCTTCAAACAGACACTGGTGTGAGAGTGAGTGGCCAGACGATTCGGAATCGACTGCATAGGGGTCACCTTCGCGCCCGACGTCCTCGCGTGATCCCTTGTTTGAGAGATCATCACATTCAGGCAAGACGTCGTTGGTGTAGGGATCGTCAACACTGGGATAATAGACGCTGGAGCAATGTGATGTTTTCAGATGAGTCAAGGTTCACTGTTGATTTTTTGGACAGACAAAGGAGGGTGTGGCGTCGTCGAAACGAGCGCTTCCAAGACATGATCGATTTGGGGGTGGTTCTGTTATGGTGTGGGGAGGCATCACTGCTGCTGGAAGAACGGCTTTACATGTTGTTGCAGGGCGTGTTACAGGCCAGTACTACCGGGACAACATCTTGGCAGTCCATGTTGTGCCGTTCGCACGACGTCATGGCCGCCGTTTCATCTTCCAGGATGACAACGCAAGATGTCACAGGGCCAGGATCGTTACAGGTTACCTCCAACAACAGAACATCACCACATTACCTTGGCCAGCACTGAGTCCCGACCTGCCAATGTCCAAGAACTTGCTGCTGCGTTGCAACAGGAATGGGACAATCTGGACCAAAATGACCTTAGACGTCTCATTAGGAGTATGCCACGTCGGATCAATGCTTGTTTGGCAAACAGAGGAGGATTTACCCGTTACTGACTTGGTTGTGCTGCTGTGGTAACTTTGCTGTTTGACCCCGGGTATCATTTTACCCTTATAATGGTCAGTCTGTGCCTTACTTAGTCTAACGATCATTTGGAATAAATCGATGAATGTGAACTTCATTTCATTTTGTCATTTGTTTCTTCGTCAGTTTCATTATGTGACTTTAATAACACTTAAAAATCAAATATCCCCTACTTTTTTTGAATAGTATATTATGTAAGATTTAGATAAAGGGCTGGCTGTTCCTGCTATAATAGTTCAAAAAAAGATAATGAAAATAGAATACATTGAAAATTTCTGTCCAAATTACTTTATTCTGAGCAAAGTTATGAATGCTTAAAGATGCATTATGTAAGATTTAGATAAAGAGCTGACCCATTTTGCTATAAGAGTTAAAAAAGGTTAATGAAAATGAATTACCAATTTTAGTTAAATTACTATATTATGAGCAAAGTTAGGAAGATTATCATTCAATAATTATCTTTTATAAAAGATAATATGATGAATTATATGGCTAATATTTCAGGTAACCTACCTGACCTGGACCAACATAGACCACACCTAGTTTATGAGTCTCATATGGATGGATGTGATCTAATATTCTTAAAGCTCTTTCTGTTGTCTATAAAACATAATGTATACTCTTTACTTATTAATTACCTTTTTACAAATAATCAGACATTGACTTGAATTAAACAATAACCAACAAACCTACTTTCTATCAAAAATTTACAATAACAAGCCAGCAGTCCCCAACCCTAATCCCAAAATTAATTACTAGCACATTTATCTTTTCATAAAGGATAGAGAAAACATGACTTTCTAAATCTGCTTACCTTGAGCACAACATCTTCATTATCAAACATAATTAAGGAATTGATGTTATGAGACTATAAACCAAGTTTTGTGGCTAAGCAAAGTTATCGTTTTCCAAATGCATCAAAAAATCAAATTGCTTATCTCGGTTTAGCCGCAGTAGAATATGCTCATCATTGAAACTCAATAAAGACATCCACCTAATAAACACCTACATCAAGTTTGAACAATCTAGCACAATTAGAAGCAGAGTTTTCTGTTCTAAATGGTTGGACAGACAGACAAATGGGCCAAATCATCCACTGATTTCTTGGAAAGGCCAGAGGCAACAACAAAAATATTTACCTCATTATGTTGTAATAAAACAGGTGTTTCTTGGGAACTTAATAAAGGATGATTATGAAATAACTGTAAGAACACAAAACCAGGACTAATACCACTTCTATTTGCTTCTTTTACCGATCCTGATTTTGATCTGGCATCAACATCTTCTTTCTGTCTAACTTCTATAGCAGGGGACATCACAGATATGGTGTGACCGCGCGGCTTTATAGTTTTCATTTCCGGTATGTCTTCCGGGGTGGAGGAATTTGTGGAACTACCGGTAGTCTGACTCAGTGTAATTTCTGTATGACTAGTGTCCGAATGTGTCTTCTGATCCGAACTAACTACAAGGGGTGTTAACTTATTACTGTCAATTTGCACATATTTCATTTGAGGCGGAATAGTGTCTTTCATATCTGAGAAAACATTTTCTTCTTCTTTCTTATCCGATTGTATAAGAATATCTTCATCAGTTTCTGTAGCAACTTCAGCTTCTTCGATTTCTTTCAAAAGAGAATTTGAGAGATTTCGCTTCACTGGTTTGACGGGTTTTGATTTCTTAATTACCAGACTACTTTTCTCACTAGCAGATGGTAGAATATCTGGATTTTGTGGCGGACTAGTATCTATTTTTTGTGAGGTGATTAGTGGTTGAGGAGAGATTTGTTCTATTGTATCAGTATCTGTATCGTTTTTGGTTGGACTTGATTTATTTTCTTTCATAATACCATCATCAGGATAAGAACCAATCAGAGAAGGTGAAGAGTTTGTTTTACGAAGAGATGATGGTGACGGAAGGTCAATAGGTTCGGAACTAATGGTACTTTCTGGCTCTGGATCTGGTACTAAGAAACCTTTTGTCTAAAACATATAAAAAATATTTCAGTAATTCCCCAATGCCATATTGAGGTAACTTGTACCAGTGGTATTTGAGGGGATAGAGAGTGGGGATTTAACATCCTGCTATTCTGCATTAACTGGGCTTATCAAGACAGACTGCACAAAGTTTTTCCAGATAGCAGTTTTTAAACCTTCTCTTTATCTCATTTCAAATGTCAACGATTCATTTATCTAAATGTCACAATCACATAGACCCTTTGCTTTGCCATGCCCTCTGTCCTGAACCACAAACAATGGGAAACCAGGCTGGAAATCCCAAGGAACTACAGTAAACTTTGCATAAGTCGGTTCTAAGTGGACTGACCAATTTTATCCATGTTAAGCGAAGATCCAAGTTAGCCGAAGACCGAAATTCAATCGGATAATAATAATTGATTCAAAGGCACATTTCAAGCTTTTGTTCATATTTGCGAGTAGATAACTTCCGTTTTGGTGCGAGTAGATAACTTCCGTTTTGTCGCCATCTTTGAAAAATGTCCTAAATTTTCCCTGAAAATGTCTCGTACAAAAGACAGCGAATTTTGTGGGAAAATTCTATTATTGCGTCACGTCAAATAGGCTGATTTGAGTCAAAATGATAGGGGAGAGTATTTTGGGGCTCTGTGCATGGAATACACTAACCACGTTTTTGACCATCGGGACGAAATTGACTTAATCAAATTCTGAACTTACTTCCGATCCGACTTATAAGGTGAAGGAAAAAAGCCGGAATTAGATCAAATGGACCGAACATTTTGATCCAAGCTGAGTGAAGATCTGACTTAGGACATCAGACTTACGTGCAGAAATTTAAAAAGAACAACGTGCAGGGTCAAAGGGTCCAAACAATTTTATCTGAGTTGAGCAAAGATCTGACTTCTGCAAAGTTTACTGTATCTCTACCAACATATGGATTGAACCCAAGTCTATACCATATTCACTTAGTCTGATTAAACTGTTATGATCAGAGAAAGGCATACAAACATGATTAAACGGTTCAAAATATAAGAAAAAAAAGACTGAGTACCTCTTTTTTAGGTTCATTTGAAATAATTGTTGGATCTTCTGTTAAATAAAGAAAAGAAAAATTATAGATGCAGCAACATTTCAGAGGGTGATTTAAATATATTATACTAGACATCTATATTTTTATAAACAAATGAGTCTAGGTTTCTGTGGGGAAAAACATAAACATATTTAATCTTTTAGCACTTAGTACATGTAATTCTTGACTAATTGAACTGCAGTTATTTAATTTTTTTGTCTTTTTGTTGACTAGCCATTTTTAATTGTTTCTGCATTGTGATGTGGGATATGTTTTGATTTGTTCATTACAAATGGCACTCGAGACCAATGAGAATCTGACATTTGGAATTGATTTTAAAACGTTCATTGTTCCTTAAATATTGAATATTTTGAGCCCAGATTTTTACCGTAAGATAACAATTTCAATACTGATTGAAATGGACCAATATTGAATACTAGTTTCTGCTTTTAATTTGGAATATTATGGATAAGAACTGACAGTTATGCCTGACTATGAGAGAGAGAGAGAAATTGGGTTTATCGTCCACTCAACACAAACAAGTTCATTTCGGAACTAACATATGGTTCAATTCTCTTTCAATAATTTGCTTGCGTGTAGGGGTCTTTAGCAGTGGAAGGAAACCGGAGGACCCGCTGAAAACCCACAAAGTTGGACAGGCAAACCTACTCCTTGTCACGTACAACCGGGGAATCGAAATCACGCCAGTTGACTCAATGACAGACCTTATGATACAGCGCGCAGTACTAACCATTCAGCCATCCATTCAGCCTGACTAAGAATATTCATAATCCATTGTCATGGTAATCTTTTAGTCTACATACATATAAACTGTATGGCTAATATATTATAACATCCGAAGGCAGTAAATTAAGAGAGAAATGGGGTTTAACGTCCACTTGACACAAACTAGCTTATTTTGCAACTAACATATGGTTCAATTTTATTTCAATAATTTGCTTGTGCGTAGGAGTCTTTAGCAGTAGAAGGAAACTGGAGTATCCAGAGAAAAACCCACGAGGTTGGACAGGCGACCCTACTCTTTGTCACAAACAAGCAGGGAATTGAAACCACGCCACTGGACACAATGACAGACCACCTGATCCAACGGCACGCATTAACCAATCGGCCACCCCTGCAACACTCACTAAATTAAGAGCAGCCAGCTAGCTTAGGATTTGATGTATATCAGAATGAAGAAGTCAAAGTGATTGATTTTTTTTAACCTGAACATATTTTTTATGTACCGGTAGATATACAAATTTATGATATGCTACTTTTGTACAGTACCTGGTTTTTGATCTGTTGGAAAATGTTTTGAATAAATAGATTCATATTCATCTTCTCCCAGACTTTCACTATCAATCTTTCCAATGCTATCTGATTCTGTCGAGGGTTGTGGTCTTTTACAGAGAGGAGCAAATAATAACGTTAGGTCTGAAAAAGACATATCTTGTTGGCTGAATATACTGGTTTCATTTTCTATGCGCATCATCCATGACATATTACCACTCGGAGCTCGTATTAAAATCTCGGCCCATCCAGTACACCAACAGTTACATTGATTTATACTAAATGCTCTTTTCTCTGGCATCGGGCCTTTATTACCTACAAATACAAAATAACATTTACAGTAATGGGTTACAGCTCCATTTTTTTGGAACCTTATAAAATTGGCGAAAATGGGTTTAAGAGTACATATTAACATGTATATAAATTAATTTACATTCCATTTTTAAATCTTTTTTGTAATTTCTAATCAGTTATGTTTGGATAATATTGAGTTAGGTTTAGCTTCTTTAAGTACCCTCAAATTATCAGAAGAAAGGTAGGATGCTTTAATATTCATTAGCACAATCATATTGAGATAAATAAATGGCAAATTTGCTTTATGCGCAATAGGAACATAACTTTACCTTGACAACTAAGTTTTTTCACCTAATTTTCCTCAAATTCCAAATGTCAAGGTATCAGTAATAAGCACTTCCATTGTATAGACAGGACATTGACTAAGACTAGACATGCTTTCCTTTTCAACCCGGAAGACAAACATCTGATAGGTAGGAATAGTCATGAAGGTTATTGTAGGATAGTTGAGTTGGGTGTCCAGTGTCCTAAGCAAATTATTATCATGGCTTCCACAAATCATAACTTATTTAAATAAATTAGATTTATAAACAAGTACCACTGTACTATGGACCAGGAATGAGTATAAAGTCAACGCAACCTTCTTGGAATTGTGACGTCATATAAAACTGAAATCCGTCAATCGATGTGTAATTGTCCAAGGAACAAGCATGCTAAGTTTTATGTTGATCATATATAAAAGGGCGGAGTCATTTTCAAAGAGCATCGCCCCCAACAACAACAAAAACAATATGAGTCTAAAAAAACAAAACAATGGCAGTAGGCCTATAAAATATCTCAATTTTCATTTATAGAAAAACCTACCAAATAAAAGAGATTCTATTGGATCTTTGTCTATACCAGATCCTAGAAGTGAACTACCAGTCTGAACACCAACATCATCACGACTATCCGTACTAAAAGCATCATCGTTTATTAAACTGAGATCATCCTGTGACCGCCGTGGTAATGCAGCATCTCCTTCATCAGTATTATATATTCCTACTGGATCAACTTGACTATGACTACGACTTAAACATGCTGTTGACTTGTGACGTCTGCGATCTCGTGATTTTTTAGAAGTATTATGTCTAGTTTCTTGAGTTTCTTGATATAAAGTAATGCACTTTTCACACAATCCATTATCTCTGGTCTTCGTACCGCCACCACTGGTTGTTATGGTGATGATCTTGTTGCCAACCAACCATGTTTGACTCTGTCCACCTTTCAACAGGAACTGTGCTACAGGTGATCTGAATAAAATTAAAAAGAATCTTAATAATATATCAACATTTATAAGCATAAATACAATGAAGTTTCTAATGCGCTGCTGGTTCCAGAGTTATCACTATTTCAAAAATGATTTCGGAACAGAAGGGTTTGAAGCTGGGATTTGAAGGGTTTTTTGGATTTTGAAAGTCTTAATTCTGGATAAATTGATTCCATAAATATGGTGCAGCATACGAGAAAGCTCTACAGTCCACACGAAAAGATTTTCAATCTGTTATTAATAATTATAGGCCTACATATCACTAAGATTTTACTCCATGTGAAAAATGAATCAGATTCTTTAAGATACAATCCCTTCAATTACTGATAGAAACAAAATAAAGAGAGAGAGAGAGAAATGTGGTTTAAAGTCCACTCGACACAAACTAGGTCATTTCAGGACTAACACATGGTTCAATTTTATTTCAATAATTCACTTGCGTGTAGGGGTTTTTAGCAGTGGGAGGAAACAGGAGGAACCAGAGAAAACCCACGAGGTTAGAAGAAACAAAATAACAAAACACAGTAATGTTGTGTTTACCTTTGTGGTGTGGTTGAAACGTTACCAAAAGTATATCTGGCCATCATATCTGTACAAGTTTCTGTTAATTCCTTGTGAAACAGGGACATTTTTTCTTCTATTGGAGCTTGTTGATCACCTGGTAAAATGGCTGAACCTGATGCCATTCTACGTCTGAAAGAAGGTCAATCTTTACTCATCATTTATATCTATATTTTCAGAAATAGTAAATTTGCGAGAAAATATATATAACTGGGCAATTAATGAAAAGACTGGCAATCTCCTTTGATTTTAACTTTGGACAAAATCTTATTTTCTTCTGAATTTTACCAATATTATATAGCAAGACAAGAGGTTTTTGTAGTATCTGGAAATCACTGAATATTAGGCATATAAAAAGGGCATTATTAAGCCTTGAAATCACTGCAAGTTACAGGTGACAAAACTGGGTTTTTGTGTTCAAAGATATAGATGACATAGGTCAATAGTATGTTTTGCATTAAATTCATGAAAGTATTAATTCCCACACATTAAATTCGTTAGGTTTTTGCTTGAAAACGACTTGTGAAATCTTGTTGAAACGTTGCAGTGTAATAAACCAAGAGTTCTAGTATTATATTAAATTCAACCAAACATTAATTCCCACACATTAAATTCATGCAAGTAATAATTTCCAGACATTAAATTGAAAAGCACAAGCAATAATTCCCACTTATTAAATTCATGCAACACATTGAGTTCATGAAAGCACCATACAATGCAGACAGTGTAAACTGACCTTGTTCTAGTACCAGCTGTATATGATCCTGATCTACCGCGATCTGATGAATCCTGATTCTGTAGATTTAACTTTGAGTTCTCTTCAAACTGTTGCAATACGTTGGCTTTTAGACCCTGAAATAAAACAATTACATTCCTAAACTCACAGGAACAGTGTCTAGTTGTCCATATGGGACTAAAAACCAAGGTACTGTGTACACATTAGCATGCACGTAAAAGAACCATTGACAGTTGGAATTTCAAATTAAGAGAAGGCCATAGTGCCGCTCTCTGGGCAAAATTGTGCTCATTATGGCTCTCCGTCCCGCACCATTGACAAAGGGAAACAGCACTGGAAAACCCAGGGGAACTTTCTTGGTCATCATCTAGGTCGAACCCCAGACCTCCTGGTTAGTGAGCCAGTACCTTACACACTGAGCCACTGTTGCTCTGAGCTAATTCAATTGTTACCTACCGTGTGTATAAATTTAACGAATCCCTTTCTGAAGGGTAATCTACATCTGATGAACCAGACAGCTATAACATGATGAGCCAGTGATACAGTATAATGACTAAATCTGAAAGTAATCAATGAAATTTTGCTTATTCGTAATAAATACACTATTAAAATATTTCTGTGTTGACAAATTAAACATTTATAAAATTCTAAAGACCAAAAAAGATGTCTTATTTAATAAACCTCATTTCAATAGACAGCGGCATGTTCCTGCCAATCAATATTTTTCAACCAATCAAAACTAAGCTTAATAGTTACCATGGCAAGTTTCTGATGACAAGCCTGAATGTGGAGTTTTAGGGTGTTTAAATAAGAAAATGGAATAGTTAATACAGGAGCCCAAACGGTCTTCTTAATTGATGATTTCCTTTTGTACAACAAAACATATTATAGCACTCAGAGAAATGTCTACAAAATAATTTTTGAAGTAATTTACTCCCTTTATAGTGACCCTGGGCAGCCCCTTTGAAACCAAATAAATTTATATGAACAAATCCATAGACTAACACCAAATCAACATGCCAACTAAATTTGGTAGAAATCCTTTGAACAAATCTGAATAAGCACCATCCAGGCACCATCTATCAATATTGGTTGTAATCTACTGAATAACGATTATCTAAGGATGATTCCACCAAACCTGGAAATAAGCCATCTGTCACTATAAATGTCAAAATTTTGTCAGCTACAATCCCTCTAGTACCTGTCATTTGGTCCTGCACAGATTTGTCCATTGATATTCATCTAGCACCAAATTGAAAATGACCGGTACTAGTTCAATTGTGACTGACATTTTGTCAAGTACACTTAGAATCATTATTTTCAGGTATGATTCCAACTAGATTTCAAAGAAATCCATTTAGCAACTCTGCAGAAGGCTTTTTGGAGATTACCCTCCTATGCTGGTAAACACCTTCATTTGAACAACATCCCTGTGCAAATTGAAATCCATTCAGGTGTTGGTGAAGCAGTCCAAAGTGACTAACTGTTTATGCCAGACAGACAATGGTCATACGCTATTGGCCTGATGGTCTAATAATACGGAATGTGCTAAACTTACTTAAATGGATTTGTATATGGAAGAGCTATCGCAAAAACACTCATGTACTGGTCCTCAACAAAATTTGCATAAAGTTTTGGCAGTCGTACAATACCTAAAATATAATAAATCAAATTATCGCAACAGCAAAAATGAAATGAATTCTACAACAGAACTATCAGATTTTTAAAGTCTGGTTCCTACTTGTCAGAGGTAATAACCGTGGGGTTGACATGGAACGTGTTGCCTAGTCATTCGGATAGGACAAAAACACTGGAATGCACAATAAATGGACTCTTGAAAGTTGGAATTCAATGAGGAGCAGCCACTGTCCACACAGTATTCTCCATTACGAATGTAAACATTAAAAAAATAATATGTTAATCTCAAAATGTTGGTATATAAAAAATAACAATAATTATGTTAATCTCAAAATGTGGGTGTATAAAAAATAACAATATGTTAATCTCAAAATGTGGGTGTATAAAAAATGACCATATGTTAATCTCAAAATGGGGGCATATAAAAAATGACCATATGTTAATCTCAAAATCTGAGCATATAAAAAAAAATGACCATATGTTAATCTCTAAATGACAGAAAGTATTGTGTTGACAATCTTATAGAAAAAGTGCTACTTACTTGAAAGAAATGCTAATACTGGAATAGCCATGGATATTGTAGCCGATATTTTAGACAATGATAATAATACTAATGGTAGAAGTCTCATCATAACATCCTGCATCTCTAACGTACAAATTCTTAAAGAACTTACACAACCTTTAGCACACTTGGATACAAAACCAAACTCTAAACATTTGATCAGCTCTCTCTGTAATAATAATGATATTTCTATGTCTAAACTACTCTAAACTACAGATGATCATAGAGTGTCTTAAAGTCCTTACAATGACAATATTGTGAAAGTGGAGTCTATAAAAAGAATGTCAGTCCAAAAATGGTTTAATTTCGTTCAGTATTTACAAAGATATGAAATGAAATTGTGTCAACATTGAGCATATATTAGATGATATATTATAGGATATGGTCAAAACCAGTCAACACTCTCTATATTTTGTTTGCTGAAATCTTTTGATTAAATCCAAGCCAGGGCATTATTTATTGTTAATATTTGCATTTTGTTTTCTTAATTAAATGGTAAATAATGAATGCGAGTCCATTTTAGCACGGATTGAGACAGAATAAAATTTGATCTTGTCTAAATCTAGCAAATGATAATCAGCAACTTTAAATTTTGAAAGCTATAGGACATATTTTTTTCAGATAGTTTTTAAACAGATATAGTAATCTTTCTTTGTTGCCCGTCTGAAGACTTTTTCATCTCTGTTAATTTATAAATTTCTTATCCAAACAAAGAAGACAAACCAGAAAAATATGAAATTTTATTTTGACAAAGTCAAAGAAAAAGATTGCTGCAGAACTGACAGAAAATAAAATTATTATATTACCTGTCGATTTCTATCTAAATATTCATGATAGGTAACCATGGCCGCTAAAACAGGAAAGACAAAGGTATGAAAATCAGCTCTGGTGAAACCTGGTCGCAGATTCTTCAGTTTCTCGGGTAGCCCCAGAGACCTATCATTAACCTGTAATAAAAAGAAGGAGAGATTGGTTTAATATAACGGTGTGCAAAAACGAAATGAAATGGGTTTAAACGTCTTACTTTTCTGAAGATATGCATACATTACCCCATGCAGCGGGAAATTTTTATGTTCTACAGCAGTGCTAAGACTTACTCTTATGTCAATTTCCAACTGTCAGGGTATATACAGGACCTCACAAGAGGAAATCAGGCTGTGATATCTAGGAGAAATTTATCATCCAACATCAGAATCAAACCCAGGACCTCCAATTTAGTGATCCGGTGCCATACTCGCTAACTCCTTGTTAAGCGAAGTATGAAAACCAACTCAAAGCTACTAGTGAAATTTTCAAGAAATTGATATGCTAAACTTACCATTGACGCTAAATGATGACACAGTTCATCAATCAAATCACCGCGGGTTGATAAAATTAATGTTTTATTTTGTAATACAAGTGGTAAATTCTCCAAAACACATTTTAATACTTCCCAATCTAACTCCTGCAAAATTAAACATTTTGATTTCATTTTATGTAATGATAGCATATTAGCCTTAAATTACTGGTATCGTAGGGAATATAATATACAAATTATATTAACAAATAAAGATGTCAGTTTGATGATAGCATGTGCTTGTTTATCAGTAGGAGAATGGTATGGGTGTTACCTTTCAACAAAAATATTAATACCATGATATATTGACTGATTTAGCATTGTTCAGTGTGGTAGTAAATGAAATGAAATGAAATGATATGTGGTTTAATGTCCTACTTTTCTGCACCAATACCATGATGGATTGACCCACTAGAACAGTTCAAAGTGGAAATGACATTCAGTAAAAATAGCAGGTGCAGGACATGTATATCAATAAATAATTAACATGTCCTTACAGTTTTTATTTAATTTTTCGATAAAATATCAAACTTAAACTTAACGCCAATTCAACACATCTTTGTAATTACTGAATGGAATTGAACAAATTTTGGAAAGATATTACTATTAGAGATTCATCATTTACAAAATCCATTATATCAGTTTTGTATATATTCATGAAGTACTTGGAATAAAATACTGTTTAAACCAACACTGATGATGATGAGTTAGATACATGTATTTACCTTCTTTAGACATTCTATAAATAATCTAAATATATCAGTATACTCAATAACTGATGTAATAGATGTTGGTAGATCAAATGGTGTTCCTGTTACACCAGGACTTATTGGTACAGCTGGTTCAGGTGTTTCACCACTATAAAATATTAAATAATTTAATTAAAACATTGAGTTTGTTTACATATATCAATGTATAAATCTATAAAATATTGCAAAACAACATATAAAATTTACTGTTAAACAAGGGAGGGTAATTGTCAAGTGGTCTAATAAGTGTGCTTTAGATCATAAGGTCTGTCATTGAATCAAGTGGCATGGTGTGATAAGGAATAGCGTTGCCTGCCCAACCTCATGGATTTTCTCTGGGTCCCCCTATTTCCACCCACTGCTAAAGACCACAAAGGACAAGAAAATTATTGAAATGACCTAGTTTGTATTGAGTGGACAGTAAACCTCATTATATTTAAAATGTATATTTACCTGCTATAACAGAGTATATACAGATTGAATGGGTATTGTATATTTACCTGATATAACAGAGTATATACAGATTGAATGGGTATTGTATATATACCTGATATAACAGAGTATATACAGACTGCGTGGGTATTGTATATTTACCTGCTATAACAGAGTATATATGGACTGAATGGGTATTGAACATCTGATGGTCTGTCAGCCATACCAAGACGATGTAAACTATCAGATCTAAGTTCTAACAGACATTCCATAATCTATATACAAATACAAGAAATATATTTTATAAAATATCAATAGTACAAGGGAGCCACAGTGGCTTATTAGGTATGACGCTCGTTCGCTAACTGGTGTTGGCTGTGAAGCACCTTTGGATTTTCTGGTTTGGATCCCCCTTGGCTGTGGTGCAGGACAGAGGGGAACAGATGGTACTAAACAATATGGGGTCCAGACTGCACACATTAGCGTGCATGTAAAAGAATCCTTGACAGTTGGAATTCGAAATAAGAGTAGGTAACAGAACTGCTGTCAAGTCCTAATTTCTCTCATAGCACACTGCATGTTGTATGTCATCTTCATTAGCCTGGTAGGTGCAGAAAAGAAGGACATTTAACCACATTCACCAACAACAAAAATCCATAATGTTCATATTATTAAGAAGGAAAGAAGGAAAATGTTTTTCTTTATGATGGGATACTTACTGATTTTCTGATAGCACAAGCAGTTAAATTAAAGACCATATTGTTATACTGACACTGTATGTAATCTATTAATATCTGATTAATTTTTACTCCATGACTAGAAGGTGTCTGAAATAACTTGTGCTGAAATATATACACAACAATACTCAAAAGATAGCCTGCCAGGCCACAAATGCCAAGTTGTCCATCCGAACAGTCCACAAAGGTTTTACATTGTGAATATTTAGGTAAACAAAGAGCTAAATTTTCATACTGTAATGTCATTGTGCTGTGACAAGATTCTACAACATAATTAAGGGCAATAACTCTAGAATTCTTATTTCTATTAACACGAAAGATACATATGAATTTCAAGCAGACCAGTCAAGTTCACAAGATTCTACAAAATGAACAAGGGACACAACTCTAGATATATATAATGGAAATTGTTGGAATTCAATAAACCTCTTCATTTCACTAATCTAAACAAAGCACACTGGATAATAACTTTTTTTGTTAGTTTTCTTTTCACTCAATTCTACAAAGTGACAAAGGGCCATAACTTTAGAAGTAACTGTTAAATTTCAAATCATTTCTTCATTTTACGAATTTGAACAATTCATTTCAAGTAGATCGAATGATAACTTCTGATAACTCTAGACATCACTCTAGAAATAATTCCAGGGGGGGTTGGTTCGTGTCAAAATTTGTATATGTCTTGCTACAAGATTCTGGAAAGGTAACAAGGCCAATAACTCTGGAAGTTATCAATAGAAATCACTGAAATTACATTATTTGGCTCGCTAATATAAACAATACCGGTATATAAATTTGAAAAAGAAGGATTTTAAAACCCCAAATGGCGTTTCTTTTCACATACACATATAATGGAATATTCCAATTGAAATAATTACAATCTAACAACAGTGATGGGCGCCTTATTTCCAGGCTTGTTTATAATAACATAATTACCCTAAAAACTTCAACTAATTTCAATGCTGTGGCTTTAACATCAGATAAATTTCTTTCATCTGGTATTTGAACAATTTCTTCATTACTAACAACAGGTACTGTTATAAGAGCTTTCTTTAATATCTGAAATAAGTGATCAATTTTGAAGAGAGATTTATAGGAAAGAGAACAGAGCCAAGAGTGGGATGTTTTGTTTTTCTTATTATGAGAGAGAGAGAGAGAGAGAGAGAGAGAGATGGTTTTAATGTTCACTCAACATAAACCTATTAATTTGGGGACTATGATACATTTTTATTTCAATAATTTATTGTGTATAGGAGTCTTTAGCAGTGCGAGGAAACTGGAAGAACCAGAGTAAACCCACAAGGTTATGCAGGCTAGCCTACCTCTTGTCATGTACAAGTGTATGATCAAAAGCATGCTACTTGACTCAATGACAGGCCTTTTGACCTTTGATCACTCAACCCTCTGAAATGTTAAAGTGTCAATTTGCTTTCCTACCACCTTATATCAAATATAACGGATGATATTGTAAGACAGTTTTCAACCAATTAATATTTTTACATTTTTATTTCTATACTTTAATAAATCATATCAAGTCAAAAAATCAGTCAAGTTACTATTTTCATACCTTTTAATTAGTGGCAGTTTTACAAAAACATCAGAGAAATATGCATTATTTTTAAAAAAAAAAAAGGAAAAAGAGAAAGAGATCAAATTAGGGCTGTCAAAAAGTCTGATCTATACTGGCTTTCCACTCTACTTTTATTTTGTTTTCAAACGCATGAATATGTCCTTACTGGTTTATTAAAATCACTATTATTCTCGTAAACCAGATTTCTAATATATTTCAAAACGCTTGGCTAAATCACAATATATTGTGATACAATCTTTGGCCGCATTACATAGCCCTATATAACATGCAAGTCACACCAACCTTGTCTACAATACTCATAATGTCAAAAAATTCATTAGAATAACAGCTTTGAGCTAGAACAAGTAATATGTCTGCTGCTACTCTTCGTACTTCTGGATCCGGGTCTGTGTCTATGTTACCAAGATTTGGAAGAACCACCTTTTGTATTAAAACTACCTAGAAAATAAAAAAAAGCTTTTAATGTAATTGGTGAGTAAATTAGAAAATAGGGCTTATGATTTTCGGTCTCAACAATTATGTTTGGGACATCCAGTGAATTCATCTTTTTCTATTTCAGGAGAAGTTAATTTGGGTTCTTTTTTCCATTTTATATTGTACAGATACTGAGAAAGAACCTTTTAATGAAAAATGCTGATATACAATTTTATTGGAAGAATACAAATGTATGATTATGCCATTTATAAAAAATCCCCAGCCCCATAACGTTGAACAGTAAAGTATATTAATAAAGGTTCACTGGGGCTGGAGTAATTTTAATGTAAATCTGATACATAATCTCCTATATAACATTACAATTATTGTACTGTCAGGATGCTCAAAGATGTATTAAGTTAGAGCTAAATCTGCCTGTTGCAGGTCTTTTTTCTGGCTTCAAATGTTATATAATTTATTATATAAACATTTAACATGCCAAGTCTTTTATCAACTCTCTGGGCCATTGGATGGGTCCGTTTTTTTTTGGGGGGGGGGGGGTAATTAAGTAGATTAGAACATCGCAGCTATTTTAGACTTTAATATAATAGATAATCAAGACTACGCTACATTTTGTCAAAACTTCAAACTCTCATAACATCGCACAGAATAAAGTAATTCCACATATTCATTTTCCTTTATCTATTTTTGAACTATTATAGCAAGAACGGCCAGCTCTTTATCTTATTCTTACATAATGCATCATTAAAACATTTTTACAGTAAATACATAAGACTTATTGAATTAAAAATTAAATAAAAAATAAAACAATATACCTCATAGACATGTTTGTTAATTCCAAGTACAAAGGACAGAATATCCAGAGCTTTCTTCCTTATATCTGTTCGACGTTCTTGTCTAAAAAGATACATTGAATCAATACAAGCAGTCCTACTTTAATTAATCAATTCTTTTGTTTCTTTTAGACATGTCAAGGTTTGAGGGCTTAAGACTTTAAGGACTTACGGTTTAAGACTAAAAACATTAAAATTGCATTTAGAGACTCTAAAGTTTAATGAGATTTATTTAGTCGAACTTTTGTAATTTTTTACTTTGGAACTGTCGTAGTGAAAAATAGTAAACAAAAGCCCCCAAACCTTGGCATAAATGCTTTTTTTTATAAAGAGACTGGGGTGTTGGGTGGTCAAGTGGTCTATCATGTGTGCTTTAGATCATAAGGTCTGTCATTGATTCAAGTGACATGGTTTCGATCTCACACTTGTTCGTGATATGGACTAGGATCACCTACCTAACCTCATAAATCTTCTCCAGGTTCTCTACTTCCTTACAGCTAATTATTGAAATATAATTGTACCACAAGTTAGTCCCAAAATAACCTAGTTTGTGTCAAGTGTCAACTTTGAATATCTATGTCTGTTATAAAGAGGCTTTTGGATCTATAGTGCACAGTTGAGAAACATAATTATGAAACCAACAAGAAACAAAGATTAATTTGAATGTGAAATTTTTATCAGATATAATTACCTAAAGAATCGGTCTAAGAGAGAGTTGAGATTAACAATCCATTTATCTTTAATAGGAGTTATCGACTGTGCGTGATAATCTATCAGTAGAGAAACAGAGTGAGTCTGAAAATAAAATAAAAATAGTTCTCAGAAATAATATACACATATTATTGTATTCCATATAAACTGTGTTATGTTTTTAGTTTTTAATTACTTACCGATCTTTTACTAGCACACATTTCTATTATTTTGAAAAATCTTGGCACAGATCCTAAATATTGTCTATTTTCGTGAAGACTTTCAATAGTAGTAAGAACATCATGTATTTCCACCTGGATTTTACCTTCTTCACTACTGTTTGGTATGGATGTCTCATCATCCTATATAAAACAATCAAAATGTACAAAACTGGAATAATTAGGAATACCATTTCAAATTATAAGAAATAAAGCAAAAATAAACAAATTTGAGCCTTTATTACTTGGTACAGGTAAATATGGATTACCCATGACAAAATTGTCTTAAGAAAAGTGATATAGTTATACCGGTGTGACAGTTTGAATTGACTCCCAGTGTGTGTTTGCTCCTGGGCACTTGCGCATGTCCTAAACTGTTGTTTGAATTAACAACGAAGCTATATCTACTTTCGACGGTGTGAGACGGTTCCTGATCACTGATCACATATTTGGTTAGAGTTTTGTCATTAATAAACATACTTGTTATCGTGATTAGCTGTTGTTGTAGTTATCAGTAGTTACACGATCAACAGATCGAAGTTGAATGGCTTGAAATTGATACTTCCATCGTTCGTGATTTGTTGCCGTTGTTTTTTTCCGTGATTAGTCGTTACATTTTTTGACGGTTTAACTATGTTTTAATAATTAACTATTTTGCAGATTGAATATTGGCCTTTATATGATTAGCATGTTTTTGATATCATACTAAGTCAATTATGTTTCCAACGTGATCTTTATATTTTCACAACAAAAAATACAAGGTACATACGAATGTAACTACTTTTATGTTATTATCAGTAACACAGTAAGACTTGTGTTTGACTGATCTGCCACTAGCAGCTGACTGATAGCACTACTGGTCGCAAGACTACCTACAATTATAGGACTGGTAACATCACCAGTTTCAAAATGACTTAATACCACTAAAGATTTGTAGGGCAACAATCGCATGACCGTTGAAGATCTACATAAAACCGGCTATGATTTTGATTGTAGGCAGGGTTTTGAACATAATCCACCCTGACCAAATTCAGTCATGCAACTACCCAAGTTCGTACTAGATAACATAAGACTGGTGGCAGAACTTTTCAGTTTTAGCAGGTCCTAACCTGTTCTAAGTCTTCTGATCTCTCACTCTCAGTAAGACTAGGATATAAAGGAACAAGAATAACAGTCCTTACCTCATATTGTTCTATAAGTACTTCTATAATGTTTAATATAATATCCCACGATAAATTCTGTAGATCTTTACCATATTTTTTGACAAGACGTTGTAAAGATAGAATAACCTCATGACCAACAATAGGTTTATGACTCCATAATGCCTAGTAAAAAAAATACATAGCTTTATCCGTCAGAGCAGCTAAAATGTGGAATGATCTTCCAAAAACTCTTTGAGAGTCCCCTTCCATCCAGAGCTTTAGGACTAACTTAAAAACATATTTATTTCAAAAATGTTTTGAACTGTTTTGTAGTGAATGTGCTTAGATATACTCATGTGTAATGAAGCACTATATAAATTGAACAATAATAATAATAATAATAATATAAATGACTTCAACTCTGTGATGTGCAGACTTTTGGTGATGCTTGGGGACAACTCTTTGATTGCATAGCCCGAAGGCTCAAATACCAGGCCTATAGTACTGAGGTTTTGTTATGCAAGGGGCCAACTCCTTGATTGCAGATCCTGATGGCTAAAGGTATCCAGTATTGAGGTTTAGTGATGCTCGGGACCAAACCTTTAATTGCATGCCCAAAAGACTTATATACAGGGCCTACAGAGAAATGTGAAAAGGAAGATTTTCTAAATGTAACAATGGATCAAATAAAATTTTTATTAAAATTAGATATAACTTAACCACATTGTATCATCATCCCCCCCCCCCCCCTGTTCTCCCCCATACCCCCCTTCAAAATGCTCCCTACTTATCTAAGCTTTGGTAAGATTTCATTCTTCAATATTTGAAAATTCATTTCAAGAAAATTATTGAATGAAAAATTGTTCTGGTTACAGTTTACATCATCCTTGTTGATATTTAATATTGTTTTATAACCATATATCATTTTAAAAATAAATATAGGAAAAATGAAATGAAACAGGGTCTAACGTCCTTCTTTTCTGCTCCGAACTGGGCTAATGAAGACGGGCATACGCCATACAGTGTGCTATGAGGGAAATTTTGCCCGGACAGCGGCACTGCAGTCTACTCTTATATTGAATTCCAAATGTCAAGGGATCTATTACATGCACACCAATGTGTACACGGGACCTCGGTTTTTCATTCCATCTGAACGACTAGACAGCTGTCCTTGTCAGACCCTCTGTTCTGCATCAGACCCTCTGTTCTGCATCACTGACAAGAGGGGGAACCATGCCGGAAAATCTGGATGTACTTTCTCGGCCAATGCAGGGATCGAACACCCGACCTCCAGGCTAGCGAGGAAGCTTCTTACCCACTTAGCCACCGTGACCCCCCAAAATAAAAAAAAAAGGGGGGGAGACAGGAAATAATTCCTAGCAAATGGTTGGAACACCTTTTAGACCCAAATTAACGTGCAAGAACACAAATTCTAATAAATCTTGTAATACATGTACTGGGAAGGTCTACCTGCAAGAATGATGGTAAAACTGAAGTAGCTGTCTGTTTTAATGACTGTACACGACTTGATCCCCATAAAGCCATTCCAATAAAAAATACAGCACCTCGTAATAAAATAGCATCAACAGGCTGGCGTCTGAAAAAGAAAATAAAAATGGTTTAAAAAGAAAATAAATAAAGCTACAAGCTGTAACCAGAACAATTTTTCATTCAATAATTCTCTTGAAATGAATTTTCAAATATTGAAATATGAAACCTTGTAGATATATAATATCATACCTATCCTGAAGCATACAGCACATGGTATGAATACTGCTATGACCCAAATGTGTACCAAGTAATTTGCGCATAAGTTCCCAACTCTCTTTACACACTCTAGCAATATTAACCAAGTGACATAGAGCAGCAATAAAATGGTAGAGACTGGATGAAGGCAGATAACTGTAACAAACTACTGCATCCAGTACTTCCATACATAACTGAAATAGATTACAACTGGAATTCATATATCAATATTTTCTTAATTCCAGTAATACAGAAGTCTTCAAAATAAATATAGTTGTTAATCATCATTTGCATTTTTGGGAAAATATAACAAAATTTCCTGGCATAATTAATGCTAAAATGTAATCGGATCGGGTTAATTAACATTTAATTTCAATTACAAAATTAAAATATCAAAGGGTAGATTATATCCTGGCTTGGAATCAAATAGATTAAAATGAGACCTATCTATCAAAAGATTTCAGCAACATTCATTTGCCATGAGTCACCCCCAAGAAATTTTGAGAACTGTTATACACATTTAACAGCAAAATCAGAATCCATGAAATTTCCATTATGGGCTACAATTTAGGATAATAGTTTACCATATAAATTGTATAATAAAAATAACTATGTCTTACTTTTAAGTCTTCTTCTGATCTTGTACGGTTTGGTATCATACATGTCTGTCTATAAATCAAAATCCAAGAAATCATATCAACTATGGTGGAATTAGATTTACTAATATTGAATATAAGATGAAAATATAAACCAGCCCCAAAAACATAAACTACCATATAAAAATGATCCCCACTCCCATCAAAAGGAAAAAATTAAATACCATCTAATTAAAAATGATTTCCCTCCCAACGTCCTAAAAAAAACATACACCATATAAAAATGATTTCCCCATCCCCTAAAAATAATGAACTACCAAATAAAAATGATTTCACCAACCCCACCCCCTAAACAAAAAAAAACTAAGTACCATATAAAAAAGTATATAAACTACCAAAGACCTCAACCCACTGAAAGAAAATAATATAACTTATCTATTAAAAGACTTCTATCAAAAACAAATTCGATAGAAAATTCAAGTTAAAGGAATTTTATGTTATCAATCGAAACCAAAAATAGTCATAGAAATCAAATTCTATATCATTAACATTATATTTAGGTAACTTACTGAACTAAACTTGAAACAATATCTTCATCTAGGTATGCAGCATTAAATTTTATAACATTTATCAACAATGACAGGTAATCAGATATTCTTCCTAAAGACAGGATATCGGGCATCCATTTCAGCAGGAATTCTCCTAAAATAGGGTTTAATTTATCATTCAAATAATATGCCATATTATGAAGTCAGTACAAAACTAGTGTATAGAAAAATATAAGATTAAAATTTGATTGGAATGATAAATTAACAACACCAGCTCTAACACTACACCAAATTTCAATGTCACTTTATCCCAAAAGTCTGTACAAACATTTATTTATAGTCTACATTTAAAATAATTTGACTAATTATAATTATTAGAATCTAACAAACCTGTCTCATCTTCAAAATCATGAAGATTTTTGCCATTTTCACTCAAAATTCTGAACAGTTCAAACCTTGAAATACATTTAATAAAGAACATCTCCTTTTATTATTTAAAAAGAAATAACATCCTTGAAAATGTATAAAAGGGGGAGAGTGGGGTCTGTAGGGCTGATTTTATTTTTATTTTACTGATAACTTTAGTTATAAATCAACTGGGATAATTAATCTTTGCTACTTTATTTATCAGATTCTAACCTATACACATTCAGAGTTTTGCTATACCTTAAAAACAAGTAGAATTATATACCTTTTTTTCGAATTATATACCTATCACTCAGGATGGCCCATTGGGCCTAATGGTGTGGGTCCGATGGACCACCTTATGGGGACCAATGGACCGTTCAATGGTTACAATAGGATATACAAACATTCAAGAGTCTTCACTTAATTTTATTAAACATGCATTATGCAAGAGCTAAATCTGATTATTGCTAATCTTAATTTAGGCTTCCGATGTTATAGAAATTATAAATTAGATCTTTATTTAAACAACAAGACCAAAATCAACTCTGTAGACCCACGGATGG